AGAAGCAGAAGAAGCAGAAGAAGCAGAAGAAGCAGAAGAAGCAGAAGAAGCAGAAGAAGCAGAAGAAGCAGAAGAAGAAGAAGAAGAAGACGAGAGGGAGGACAAGGGGGAGCTCTGAATCGAGGCATTGGAACAGACTTGGTGAGACAGCAAAGCGTACTATACGAGTTTTTGTGGACAGGCAGACACTGGGCCTCATATATTAATGTTGTTGAGCTGGCCGTGCGTAGAAATATTGGGAGACGACTGAATGTTGCCGAGTCACCATTTTTTGCCCGCCGTCTCGCTGAAGGTGACTAGATGAAGAACTATCTCGTTCAACCAAACTGCCCAAAGGATCCTGTGGCCCTGAATGAAATAATTACTGAGCCGAGATTGTCACCAAAAAAGACCGCCAGACGACCAACATGACCGGTGGATTGAAATCTCTTGTTTCTCGTTGCTGATTGATGGCCGTTGGATCCCCGTCGTCCCTCGCGCCACCGCGTGCTAAGTGAGCCGTCGGGCCAAGACAAGACGCTAAGAAGACGCACGGAATAGCCGGTCAACATCTTGGGCCTTGGCACCGAGGCCAGGCCAGGTCCACATCGGCTGGACACGCCATAATAATTCCACTATGGTCTCACCGTTTTGCGTGACCACGGCGCCGACGCGCTGAGCCTGACAGGTGGAGTCTAGTAGTCGAACATTATGGGCAAGGCAAGCATCCTCCAGCAAGCTCTCGGAGATGACCATACAAAGAATTACGTACAAAAGTACTGGCCCCGAAAGCTCACCAAGCTACTATGGTACCTTGAGGTCCGCCGCAGCTATTTCCCCAATGCGCCTCGAGGCAAAGACCACGCTGTACGTAGCGACAGGCGGCTTGTTGTCATTACGTCTTGATTCCCTCTGCGAGAGTCGGCTCATGTTCGCCAACTCCAGTCTTGAACTCGACAAAGATTCACTCCGCTGTAGCCAGTAGTCGATTGGGTTTCTCCCACATCAAGATGAGATTAGCTTTCGCCCTCTCCTTGCTGCTGGTTCTAATTACGTCGCTCGTGCCCAAGCGCAGGAATGCAGCAAGAACACGCCATTCCCGAAGGGCTGTTGTAGTAAACGGGGCTTTTGCGGTTACGGTAAAAATTGTACATGGCCCTGAGACACCCATAGTCTAGGACCAAAGGACTGACACAGGCTGCCAAGTTTGCGACGAGGACGTCTGCGTGAACAACTACGGCGTCAAGTCGGAATGTGACCCTGACGGCCCAAAGAGTTCCTTTGCCGAACACGCAATGTGCCCTCTCAATGTCTGTTACTCCAAGCACGGCTGGTGTGGCGTGACCGAGGAATTCTGCGGTGATTTGAAGATCAAGCCTCCGTCTTGCTGTATATCGCATAGCATCGAACGCATTGTGGGCTACTACGAGGGCTGGTCCCAGCGTCAGGCTTGCAACTCGTCCATGCCCGAGCAGATACCAACGGGATTGTACACCCATATCAACTTTGCCTTTGCCATTATTGACCCGGCCAACTTTGAGTTTCTGCCGGCATCGCCTGTGGACACCAGGCTCTATAGACACCTCACCTACTTGAAGAGAATGGACCCTGATCTCAAGGTCCTCATTGCGATCGGGGGTCGGACCTTTAACGACCCGGGACCTGTCGCCACAACGTTTTCCGACATTACGGACAGCCAGAAGAAGTTCATCAAGTCGCTTGTCAGTTTTCTATTGACGCACGACTTCGACGGCGTCGATCTTGGATGGGAATACCCCCGATCCGAGGAGCGCAGCGGGAGGGAAGAGGACTTTAAGAACTTGCCTACGTTCATAGCCAACCTCAAAAGGCTCTTAAGGGGACCGGACGCGACGAGCTTTCTATCATCTTGCCTGCCTCATACTATACGCGCTATGGCCTCTCTGTGTGTGCACGTGGTGCGCGTACGACGCTGGGTCACCTTTGCTAACTGTGTCGTGCGCAGGGTATCTCCAGCATTTTGACATTATCAAGCTTACGAAGCACGTCAAATTTTTCAACATGTATGTGACGCCCCCCAAGTCCTTGAATATTTTGTTAGTTTGCTTAACATATACGGACTGACCCTTCCTCGTGCAGCATGGGCTAAGATCTCCACGGTACGTGGAACAAGACTAACGAATGGTTTGGCTCCTATTCAAACGCCCACACTACGGAGATTCAAGACTCCATGGACCTCATCTGGCGTAATAAGATCAGCCCGGAAAATGTCGTGCTTGGACTGGGATTCTACGGAAGCTCATTCACGGCGACAAGTTCTGCCTGCCTGGATACCGGCTGCACATGCCAGTCGGGTGACCTGAAACAGAAGTGCAGCGACAAATTGACTGTCATGCTCAACTCGGAGATTCTGGACGTCATCGAGAGAATATGGGCCGGGCCAAAGCTTGAAAAGAAGGCAGCTGTCCAGATGCTGAGCTTCGGTGGCAACAACTGTGTTGCCTACTACAACAAGGAAAACCTCAAGATGAAGGTTGAATTCGCCAGGGATCAGTGCATGGGTGGTGTCATGGTATGGGCGGTCTCTCACGACACTTTGGATGCTCGCTTCTCAAAAGCCGTGGGCAAGGCAGCAGCCCGCCCGTTCATATCAACATCGGCATCAATGACCCTGAGCACGATGGTTTGCAAACAGTCACTACCAAGCATCACCAGGGTGACCTCCCAAACTGTGGGTCCACAAGGGCAAATACAAATCCTCCTGTCCCGAGGATAATTTTGAGATTGGTTCTCTCAGAAAGTATTGCCACAGTGGATATCAATCGGCTTGCTGCACAAAGGGCAGCAGCAACACCAAGCTGTACGAGGGCTGCTCCTGGACAGGCGGTGGCGAAGACTGTGATTCTGAAACTTGCAGTCCTCCGGAAGACCTCCTGACTACATCGGGCTCGGGAAGCGGAGGTGCGATATGCAACGGGCGAGATAGCCTCCTGCACCTCAAGGAGCAAAAGTCGCACTGTTGTCCTGATCAGACCGATAACCAACGCTGGAATGACTGTGGTGACTATAGTTCATACGGCCCAAGTCCAAGCGACGACGAGAGCTTTTGCCGGTGCGGATGTCCTAGTGACCATATCCGTGTGGCCATGGACACCAGCAGCATGCAGACCTTTGATGACAGACCCCTTTGCAAGAGGGGTGGCAGGTCGCACTGCTGTATACCTAAGTCGCAGACTATTATGAAGCGGGAGACGGACGAGGAACTGGACCTGCGCGAGACGCTGGCCGACTTCCCCAAGAATTTAGTCTGCTAAAGCGATTTCGGATTTGATGACACTGGTATCCGGCGACGCTCGTCTGAGATCATCGATGTGAATGGAGACAATAACGATACTGCTCCTCACTAATATCAACACTATCATTCTACCTAAGATCATCACAAAACGCTTCGTCAGTCACACCACCCACACTATCCCCGGAGCCGTGACTTTGAAAGATCTTAAGAACCCTAGCTTTCCGTTAGAGTGTCCGGTAGCTATTCCAAGAACGATATTGTTAGGCTAATTAAGGCACTACTAGTGGCTGAGACTACCAGGAATCAAATCGATATATATGATAATCTTGTGCCGGATGTGTTTCCTAGTCTAACGTGGGCTAACTTCTATGATTATCTGGAAGACGAGGGAGCCCTTGCGAAATGGGGTTACTATCAGCTATCCCAGCTCATCGCCTGCAATCTTCCAGACTGGAATGGACGCGGGGGGAAAGCGTCACAGAGGACTGCTTGTGCGATACTGTGTACTGCTGTCCGGGAGAAGGGACTTATTGCTCCGATGAGGGGACCGCACTCATGAAGCGCAGTCCCGAGAAATGTGACATTGAAGGCGGCTCGGATGCTTTGGCATATTTGGAGGAGCGTGGCGACCCAAGACCTTATACGATCAACTTCCCTGATAGTAGGACATTTGTTGTTTGTTCACTCTCAGTAGGTCCTGCTCTGGTCCGTCACACTTGTACACGGAAGCTCACGCTAACCACTCACGACGATTTAAGTGTCCTTCAGCAGGAAAATGGCCGGCAAGTAATCGTACCCGGTCGGCTGTCTACCGATCTAGTACCAGTCCCGATTGCATCGAGATGAGAATTGAGCGCATATTGTCAGACCCAAACACAACAAACGGAGCTTATCACGGTGCGTCAACCATACCTTTACTAACCTTGCTTGACCGTCCCCTGCGATCTTTCTCTGTATTGAAATGAATATCCTCCCCTATTTCAGCAAATTGTTGAGCTCAACACAAACCATCGCTTCTTCACTGCTGTAATAGGCAACGTATTGCCCTCCAGAGGCAATGTTCAGGGCGGCCGTATCAGGCTGGTGTCCCAAAACTTGCTGTCCAACTACCCATTAAACATGATATTGAACTCATTCGGCAATGGCTGGACGTCCAAAAGCCCTCTTGAGCGTACCTTCACTGCTCTAGGCTCTCACAATAATAAGGGCTCATTTGTGCTCCTCCAAGGCAGCTTGAACCTATGGAAAACCGTCTTAAGTGACACAATGCCTGTGAACAACTCAAAGACGATTCTTGTTTTCTCGCACCCCTGAAAATGAGCAGCTTTCATACATGACTTGATTTTGAGATCTTTTTGTGTCTTCAGTCTGAACTGACTGTGGACTAGTGTTGGCAACAACTTGAAACAACTAACTTGGAAAAATACAAAGAATTGAGGGACAGCAATATGGAAAGACTGCTTAGCGATATGGATATTGATGATAAGTTCTTGCTGGGTCTAAGAAACGTAAGTCATTTGGCTCAAGACTTCCAGTTCAAAGAGAAAGTATAAAAACCGTGTGGCTAATTGCACTATCAGGGCATCACGCAATCGAGTATCTCCCGTGATCCCGATGTTTGGTATTATCTCTTGACCATAGACCGAAATGTTAGAAGGAAGATGCGCTACCTCCAAGATTGGCACTGGTCATCCACGGGCATTGCAGACGACCTTATTTCGGCCTGGGATGAGTTCTTCCTGGATCTTCTCTAGGAGACGGTAAACTATGCGCGGAACTTTGTTAAGCGGTAGGTGACGAATGCCAGGAACAAGCACAAGGGCATAAAACATTAGGATGTACTCATCTTCCTTTCCAGGTGCAGCAATCTGCTGCGGTACGACTATGATATGGAGCTGCCGCGGGACCACAGACTGATCTGCAGCGATTGTCGAAGGCTCTGCGCAGAGGACTTGAAGCGAGATAAGCGAAGCGAGATAAGCGGTAACTAAGAAGTAGGGTAAGTTTATGACCGTACTCAAAGGCAAGAAGATGATAGAGTACTTGATAGCTATGTTTTAATCTTTGGTTTTTATTGTGCAAGTATGATATAATGTAGTCCAAAAGTGAGCGGGTCCCACAAGTGAACGAGTCACATTCCTAGTACCTGTATGACAATGTGTAAAAGAAATCAACCACAAACCTTTAAATCAATTTAAACTATGTGGAATCTCCTTCTTCAAGATGCAGATTCAATTTCCTGACATGTACGAGCATTGTCACCGGGTCCTCCACCAATACCATATCGTCGCGCGCGTGTTTCTGGCCTTCTCGTACGACCACCGTTTTGATTTGTTTCAGCCCTTAACTGCTCCGTTGCATCTATTTGAGACTTCAAATCCTTTGCTTGTTCAAATATCAATGATTCTCCATGCAATAGCTGCTTTCTTTTTTCAAAGCGACGGCGGCTAAGGCGCCCATTTGCATCTCGAAGTTCGGCCAAATCGCTCCGCATCAAGGTCTGTTCGCGCACTATCATCATCATCCCCTCCTTCAACTGCTGCATGCTAATAAGAACTATTGGTAGCGAGCTATTGTAGTATCGCATGAAACGATTACTGATATAATCAGTCTGCGAAGTAATTTCAATTAGCTTGCTTGGCGTCTTCGGGACACAGGGTGGTGGTGAGCCAGCAGAAGAACTGTAAGACACATGTTGCACACAGCAGAACGCAATAGGTAGAAACCAGCAATAGCCTCCCGAATACCCTTTTAAGAACTTCTGTACGGTGATGTGAATTATCGCAGGTTATGGGACAATATGTGGTGGTGCTGGTGCTGGTGTTCTTGCACTGAGTCTTTAGATCAACCAGCCTTAGATATCGAATCTCACGAAGACAAAGAAGAGAGTGGCATCCTTCGGCTTCACTGGACTATGATTTCGACTTGCTCGATATAGATATGCTAGAGAAAGTAGGGGGTGGACTTGAGAGCTATTGGAATGATTCTATAGCCACTACTGGCGGTGCTTCGAGTTCTCACCAACAGTAGCGGCACAGCTAGTCATATAGGCCACGTGAGAAAATATGTACCTTGAGATTGCGGGAGATAGTAGTTCATCTTGCTATATAGTACCAATGATGAGCGCTAAGCCGCAGACATTAAGACCTTGCTGCATACGATGCAGCCAGTCTGCTCACAGCTTCCGTACAGCCCACACAAGTCATCCAGCCATCGCCTTCGCTTAAAAGATGAATCCTGTAATCCGAGCAGTCTTTTTCCAATGAACGCTTTTGCAGATTACTAATAACCAACTTTTCTTTTCTTGACAGCGTTAAGGCAGGGGAGGCCTCGGCTTCAGAGGAGGTCTGAAGCTGTTCCGGCCGGAGGGTGGACGACCCTATTTGCGGGATTAACTCTGACTGGGCTGTAGCTGTCGCCAAATCCTCAGTCTTTTCTGCTTCGGGCTCCGGCCCTGTTGGATCCTCCAATATCTCGTCTGGTTTACTATATCGCTCCGATAGCTCCGGTTCGAGATACAGCTCGTCGAAATTAGCTGGCTCTGGGATAGGTGGCGCAGTTTCAACAGAAGAAGGGGAAGGAGTATAATTCGACATTTGAAGGCGGCAGAACTCTTCCACCATGGCCTTGGATAACAATTTCGACAGGATCCCGGACGATTCAAAGAGATCTAGGTATCCTTCTCGGTCGAGCGACTTCGGCTCCTCAAACAGACTGCGGACCCGAGATCTGACCAAGTCGTAAAGCCAAACATCATCAGCTCTTGAAGCCAACCACCGTGCAGCGCCCTTCACCGCTCGAAGGAAGATCAATGGAGCAAGTTGGTCCGAGAAATGCACCACTCGTTTCTTAGCTAGTTCTGTAAGGCCGGTTGCTTCATACATGTTGGCGATGCTGTACGCGCAAAGACCCACTTCCAGAGGGTGTTTTAGGAAATTTCCTCCGTCAACGGCCCCCTGACGAAGCGTCTGGTATGTTCCTGTGTATAGGTAATGCACAAGTACATGACCGGCTTCCCGTGGAAAGTCAAGGCTGGCATTGTTGCTCCGTGAGCTGAAAAGTGCGCTCAGCTTGGGGATCGGTTCGAGAAGAGCAAGTGGGATGGCGAAGGACGCGCTATCATTGAAAATGAGATTGCATGTACGGCTTAGGTAGGGTCTGCAAAAAAGTTAAATAGAGTGATCTTAATGTGATTGACAGCATTGAGACGGGGCTTACGATGATTTGGGACCCGCGTCATGGTCCTCGAATGGAGGTACTACCTCAACAACGGGCATAGTAAAGAGAGCCAAACTCTTCTTCTTCTTCTTTACCATCGACATGGAACGATAGAGTGCGTGGTCGTACTAGGAAGTAGTGGGTGACGCCTCTTCAATCTCTCGTTGTGGCAAAGCAAATGCAGGCTACTTTATTTATATACATTCGGTGATAAGGGTTCTTAGTCACTTGATTGGATGGTTATAGACGCGGAAAATCTGCAGACCACCTCGTATTGAAGAACGTCGAACGTCTCACACGACTGAGACATTGGCGGCACGGATAGAATACTGAAGTGTAATCTGACCACCCGCATGTCTTCTACCCTTAGGTTCGCTAAGCTGGAGCCTTATCTTTGCACTCTAAGCCAATCATTGCACTTTCCGCTTAATTCAGCAAATATATTGTCCATTGATTTTAGCGCCCCTGGCCCCCGGAAAGAAATGAATGATAGGGCTAGATTCGTTCCATAGGCAGACCGCCCGAGAGATAAGCCGCCTTTTGTTTTGTGGAGCGTGGAACGCCAGTATGCAGATAAGCCGCACGCGTTCGGGCTGCCAGGCTCATGCAGTACAAGGCAACACTCGCAGCCATGATGGCTCGCAAGCGACGGGTGAGGTGGCGTACACGTGAGAGAAAAATCGTACTCAATACTGTTACAGCTCATGCTTTTCTAAGCGCTCTCTCGGAGTTATCCGGCATTTTATCAATCGCTACTGAGCGCAACGCTCAAGACCACCAGCTGAATTGCGAGTTATCGGGGACGAAGAGGTTGTTTTTCAGGATGGAAAGGCAGCGGCAACGGCAGGCGACCTACCTGCAGTGTCGAATGAGATAAAATTAACTTCAATCTTACTGCATGGCTATTCCGTCCATAAGAGACGTGTCAGTGCATGATGCGGCTTCTGCAGGTAGCCAGCACGCTCTGTAATGGTCGTGACAGACGAAAGAAAGTCATTGGACGTACATTCTAAATACATATCTCACCCTGCCGCATGCGGTTCAGCTCCCTCATTAGAGGGTTGCATACCCCGCTCAGGTTGCGTTTTGGCTCGAGTGTAACCTGCAGACCAGAGCAAATGAACATGTTCATAGCAAAGCGTCCGATGAACAGCAGGTCAATGTGGATGAGACACACCTCATGGACAGTCTCGAATAAAACAGAGTCATGCAGCTACGGCCAGTTGGGGATAGTGTCACTGCAACAGCGGCTGAGACATTGTCACAGACGGAATGTAGAGGTGGGAGTGTGGTTGGGCAAGAAATATATAAATTATCAGGATAGATTCCAATCTTCAGTCAAGGTTGCGTCGAGCTTTGTCAACACCAATTGTCCAACGACACCTTTGCCTCGACATTTTCCAATTCCAGTGGAGTCACTTACAGTGATTTAAGACGGTTCGCACGATGAAATTCGCACACCTCTTGATCTCTGCGGTGGCGGCGTCGGCGGGACCGGCTGCTTACGCCGCCTGCCAGGCTGCATGTGCCACGACTTTGCTTGTCGGTCCTCTGGGTGCTGCCGCATACGCCGCCTGTCAGTCTGCTTGCTCCGCTACACTGGTCATCCCAGGTCTCTAGCGCGTAGGGTCATTGAGTGATTACCAACGGGCTAGAAATTGGTGAGCTTGGACCTTGTTCTCGTCACGTTCGACCACTCATTGACATTTAGAGGAAACCACAGAAACCCTAGTGGAGAGCGGTAGGATCATCGGAGGATCAAATCTAGCGCAAATCTTTCTATGCTCAGACTGTGGGTCTAGGAGATGTGCCAGTCGGTCAATTTTTGACAGAAACAATTCAGTCGCGCTGTTTCATGAGCTTATGGAGCATCTGGCATGCCTTGAAAGTGCATGTACACCGAATCTCAATCTGTCAGCTTGCTAGGACGCGACTGTGGTCGGACAACGCGATGGCCCGAGGCATCAGAGCCCCCCTAACACGAAGATACCTCGCGGCCACCAGGAACCGCATATGTGGGCTGTGGGATAGCTAGTAGGCTGATTAAGAAATCTTAGATACGCACCTAGATGCGTAACACGTGATACTTATTTGCGCACCTATTGGCCCCCTTCTGTCGTCATTGGCGTATTCACGATGGCGGCATGGGAATCACAGGGAGGGTGGGTAGAATCGAATGGTTTGGCAGTTCAGACTCGATGCGACCACGTCACTGCCACTAGGGCTTTCCTGATGCCAGAGCTAGACCACTTGTTGACGCGCACAGTACGGAGGACACTTTCCGGGTAACTTGTGAAATTTCGCTCACCAGCAAAGCGAGACCACGCACTTGATCCTGCCCAGGGCGTGCGCTAGTTGTTTATTCGCCGTATATCTCGCCAGAACATCAAAGCCGACATGACGAACTGATCCATAATCCTCTCCTTTCTTTCTCAAGCACCGCCAAAGACTAAAAGACTCTGAATTTTAGTTCCTCCAAAGCCTTGCCGGCGTAGTAGGTCTCGGCCACGATGAGACGGGAACTCAGCCACGACCATGACGTTGACATCCTCCGCATCAATTCCGGCTTTGCGCAAGAGCTGCAACACTGCATAGAGCGTATTCCCAGTGGCAAGAACATCATCGACCACGACCACTGACGCGCCTCTACACAACACATCGCGCCCCATCTCGATCCGTTTCTCTCTTACCTTTCTCGATGTCTGGGACGAGATATGCGAGGAGTCCTTGGCGACGGAAATAGTGGGCGGAGGAAGCTTGCCGGCTTCGCGGATCAGCGCCAGTGGCACACCGACCTGCGCGGCCAACGCCGATGCGTAGACAAGGCCCCCGATCTCACAACAGGCCACTGCATCAACTTTAGCCCAGTCACCTGTGAAGTGACTTTGAAACAGAGCCGTGCTCAGAGCCAGCCCGCCTGGCTGCTGGCAGATGTCGAGGACGTGGCGGAAGTCAACGCCCGTACGGGGAAAATTGGGCACCGGGCGAACCATACTGGCAAGTTGCTGCAGGTCTGAGTTGATGAAGGGAAGGAGGAAGCTTTCGCAAAACGTCTTGGCTCCCTCGGTTCCGATCGTTTCGTTGCTGAAGATGAGGCTGGGACGGCTGTTGCAGTCTTTGCAAGCTTCGCCGCCATCGATGCCACTGTTGTCCGTACCGACGTCAGCACCGCCTGGGCTCCCTCGTCGAATCTGCCTCATCTTTGCACTAGCTTCGATCCTAACCTCGAGCAGTCTGCTATCTGGTACCAAGTGCGATAAAGCTGCAACCGGTGCTTCGTCTCTCATCCCAGTGATGAACAGCACGTCCATTTCGACGGCGCTGTCTAAAACGTTGAGAAAGTGCTCCTCTGGCAGCCGGGGTCGTTGCTTCACCTGTGCTTGAAAGTACTTCGATAATGCTGACCGGTGAAGCTCTTTGTAGGCACGGTCACAAAGTAAGCGCCGAAGGTCGGCACCGTTAGCCGCTGCGTACTCTGCCTTGATCGCGTCGCTGATGCTGACCGCACGTGCCTTGATGTCTTTGTGGCCGCCCGCGAACATGGGCACCCAAATGTCGGCGCAATAGTCCTTGCCGGCACAGCTTTCACCCGTCACAAGAATGATGAGTTTCGGCTCCACCGGAGCCTTTGGGAGCGGGCAAGCGTAAGCCAGTACATTGCCGGGGTCCAAGCTGCGTTTCAGGCGGGCTAGGCGCGGCCCGTTCCGTCCAAACACTTCGGCTGCTAGTTTAGCGTCTCGGGGATCCGGCCCGAGGTCGGCGGCATAAGCCCCGCTGCTCAACGGCAACAAGTTCCTGGCAACGTTGTAAACCCACTGGACGGCAGCTCGAGCAATCTCGCTATCATCTTGGTCGCGGAGCCAGACACCAGTGATCACACAAGCAAAGTCCCAGTCTCGGCAACCGAAAGCCGTGGTAGCCGCCGCGATGTCCCCGACCGCTCCGCCACCTTGCAGCAGGTGCAGATAGCAAAGTGGCGACGGACGAGTTGCGACGGCGGCCACCAAGATATCGGCGACATTTGCCGCTCCGATACGCTTCAAGAATAAACAGCGCTTGAACGAGGAGGTCTTGCCGCCGGCGTGTCCGCCATGCATTCCCGAGATATACATTTCGGCCTCAAACAAGCCGACGCCGTCCACGGTCTTGGAATGGCCTTCCAACCCCAGTATTGCATCAACAGAACGAGATTTAGGGGTAGGTGTTTCCGCCGTGAGCCCCGGTGGTGTGGAAGATTCGAACATGGTCACGCCAAGACGTAACTTGTCGGTCTCCCAGTAGAGATACGCGTCGACCGAAATGTTGCGCGGTAGCTTCCTGGCAACGAGTTCATCGAAATCGCTGAGCTTTAGTCGCGCTTCGAGAGTATCGCTTAGCGGAACAACCCAATTGCGAATGGAATAGGTTGGAGCTGAGTAAGTTTTGAAGGTAACGCTGACAACGATGCCAAAGTTGGTCCCGGCGCCTTTCATCGCCCATAGCATGTCGGCTTCGTTCTCAGGGTGCACGGCCACGGCCGGCCGGTGCTGGCTTGGCACCTGGCCAACGCAAAGGATCTGGCTGGAGGCGACGCTGACGACCACGGCACCAACAATGGCGTCGCACGAAAGCCCGTGTACTCTAGCTAGATGCCCAATGCCGCCTTGTAGCCACAATCCGGCGCCCACGCTTGGGCGAGCTCCAAGCGGCACTGTTACCCCCGCTGCCATGGCCTTACGGACAATATCTCCTGATTTGCACCCGGTCTCGGCGACAACCAAGGGACCGGAATTGGAACCTGGTGCACCACCCTCTTTGCCAGTGAGTACATGTACCTTATCAAAGGCGCCCATGTCGACCGATACGACGTTCGGCCACAGACAATGGCCGCTGTGGCCCCCACCGAGCACAGTCAAGCCCAAACTATGCGTCAGAGCCCACTGAACGCAACGTTGGATGTGTCGAATCTCCGTCGGCCTGACGACCAAGGCGGCGTGGTGAAGGCAAGCCTCCCTGTTCTTAACCCTAACGTCCCCGGTCGCAGCGAATGGCACCTGCGCCATCAGGTCTGGCAGCGTGGTCGCATGTCGAGTAAAGGCCAACATAACGTCGGGAGCGCTGAAGAGGAGATGGTCCGGATGGACTTTCTCTCGATGTCCCAAGGCGCGGCATACACTACGCCACTCGGCTTTGAGAGTCTTGTTTTTGTTCAGATTCGGCATGGAAAATCCCGCAATGAAAGGAGTGAAACAGTCCAGTGCTTCGTCGCTGTCCGCCACGCGAACAACTCCCGAAGGGAAAGAAGCTGTTCTATGGCTCGCCATGCCGTCGAGGTGTAGTGTCCCGTCGCGATGGAAGACCACCACCACTCCTTCTCCTGGCCGTTCAACAAGCCTCTCCAAGGCTCTTTCAATACATCTGCGCTTGTCTTTCATGCCGTACATGCTATGGCAAAATAGAATGACGTCAAAATTTTTGACGCCAGCACTCGTGTCGGTACTAGTATCGACCTCTGCGTAGAATGGGATTCGCTGTATGTCGGGCGGACCCTCCAGGGAAGGCAGTGGCGACTCTGTCTCGGAAGTAGAGCAAAGCCATTCCTCTAAACTTGCAGCAAATAATTCGTTCGGCTCAAGTGCAGCGTATGTCTTGATCTTGCGTCTCAGACAGTCTGGGAGAGATCCAAGTACACTCTTCGGGCCAGGTCCAACCTCTAGTACCGAGATACTGACTCGAGAGTTGAATAGGAGTAGTAACAGCCGAGAAAATTGAGGTACGATAAAGTCTTGGTATGTCGTCCAGTTTAAACCCTGCACAAATATGTCGAAGCCAGCGCGATACTGCGAGTCGGACAAGGGCTGCCTGTGGGAAGACGTCGCTTCTTTGGCCTTCCTAAGGTTCCACTTCAGGGAGTTGAGAGTGGCCATGTCTTTTTTTGTGGCGCTGATATATCGCACGTAAGAGTGATGATAGAGGTTCGTTTGGTTTGAGTTGGTGCAGTTGAGAGTGGTGGGGTTGTCCCACTGGCGGCTTCTTAAGTTCTGTTCAATCCCTACCGTGCGTAGTAGCTCCTGGTTGATAAGGGTCTCATGATATGCCTCCTGCGTGAAATTGATCTCGCAGAGGGTGCCCGCCAACGGCGGGGAAACCTGCCGCAAGACGCGGTTGGCTGCAAAGGACGAGGACATGATGGGTTGCATGATTTCAGCACTCATAGAGTTGGCCAATCTGCTTCCCATGCGTGGAATATTCCTTATTGAAAGCGGGTGAATTCTGCCAACGTCTCTCTGCATATGCGGGAGGCCGGGCCAATATCCACCTACAACGTAGGACTATTGGAGGATCAAAGCACATGAAAACCATCCCACGGCTTCTGGGGGCTTATTTTATTCACATTAGACTCGCCCTCTACCTCCCCTGCTGGTCCAAGACGTAAATTCGGCCTTTGCCGTTGCCCTCGTCCGTGGCCGTTCATCTTCTTGCACAACTCTAGAACCACGTTGTCATGGGTCAATCAGACGCATCAGAGCCCAGGGAGCAGCCTCTCCTCACGGATAGCATTGTGGGCTCCTCTTTCACCAGAACCAGTTACACCCGCAACCGCAACCGCAAAGAGGGAAAGCGCCGCCGCATCCTCAACAAAAACGCCCGACAGTCGCGGGTCAAGCCTACCACAGGAAAGACCAATCTACTCCCCAGCCAGAAGTCATCCAGCCCCATTGTCGACTTCAACGACATAGGCAGGTCGAGCAGCGCCACCCATGGCCGTGCCAACGAGACCCCCAAGCAGGCGAAGGAGCGTTTAGAGAAAATGTGCGGCGCCGTGAGGACGTTACTCGAATGTGTGGGTGAAGACCCCAACCGCGAAGGCCTGCTGGCTACGCCGTCACGTTATGCAAAGGCGTTGCTATACTTGACCAAGGGCTATCAAGACAATGTCAAGAATGTCGTCAATGATGCCTTTTTCTGCGAGAGCCACAAGGGGATGGTTATTGTCAAGGACATTGAAATTTATAGCCTATGTGAGCATCATCTTGTGCCTTTTACTGGAAAGGTAGCTCTCACTCTCACTCAAGTTTCCTACATCCGCCGATGCTCACTGTTACTCTTAGATGCACATCGGCTACGTCCCCTCCGATACTGTCATCGGGCTATCCAAGCTCCCGCGCATCGCTGAGATGTTCTCCCGGCGACTCCAGGTGCAGGAGCGCCTTACTCAGGATGTCGCTCAAGCCGTCATGGATATACTCAACCCACAGGGCGTCGCTGTCATCATGGACTCGGCCCACCTGTGCATGGTGATGCGCGGCGTCGAGAAGACATGCACCACCACCATCACCAGCTGCGTCCTCGGCTGCTTCAAAAAAGACTCTACGGTACGCAATGAGTTCCTCAGCCTCGTCAATTTCAATAGAACATGACGACAGTAGCGAGACATGGTCGGGATGCCTCAAACTTGATGGTAGATTGATGGAATAATCCTCGGAAGTTCTCGTGCAGTTTACTCCACGGATTAGTTGGCCCGCCGGGAGTTTGTAATCGGGACCCAATGTATGAAAAACTTCCCGCCCAGCAACACACCTAGTTATTCAGGTGCCGCCGCAGTGGCAACATCGCGGAGCTTATGGCGATGTTAGTAGCGGAGACTAGCTGCGCGAATCGGTCTGCCAGGACTCACCTCCCTGTCAGCCCCGATGTTGTACCTTTCTAGGAAACAAAATCGCTTAGATCATTTCCGTGCTCCGCTTGGAATGACGTTGCATTACTACTGTGTTCTCTCGTTTTCCAGACTACTGATGTGATAGGGTGGATAGACTACCCTACGGCGCCATACCTACGAGCAGATGCAAGACAGCAAGCCCTTCAGGGGGTTCTTGAGAGGCAGTATAACATTGGATTTGACCTATAGCCATGGGTTTGAGATTGCGATAGATCTGCAAACATGGTGAAAACAACCGTGAGAATTGATGGAACCGGCGAATGCAGGTTGTCAACAGAATGCCCACAAAAGTTGCCTCGTAATCTGCAATGGACGGCCTCCCACATAAGAAAAGGGGAAACACGCTACTGCAATTGCACAGGCAATCACCCACGACGCAATGACCATTTAGCCTATTGGCTGAGATCTTGTTTGAGCGTGATGACCTATCTTGAGCAACAGCGTTTGAGCGGTTCAATGACGAACTCGGTGTTTGAGCAACGATGATAGCCATCCTGAGAAGATTAGCTAGCGCAAAAATCGGCTCTGGATCATTGTTATGTGAGCCAAGGCGCACGGGTTCGAAGTCCTTCCCGAGCATGGTCTCAGCCCGTTCGCCAGATTCAAACACATTTTGCCACCAGGCCTTCTCGTTAGAGTACTCGTTTGTGACGCGCTGCATACCTAGATGCGAAATTAGGTCTGAGTAGCACGAATAGGATTTTTTATATTTGTATCTCTTCCTGCCCGCGAATGGACTTGGCCTTCGATTCGTCTCATTAGACCATTCAGACTCACCTCTTTGTATCTGAAGTGAGAGTGAGCTACGTACTTGTCGATAAGAGTGACTGGTTCCCGATGTTGTCGAGTGGGTGTACCACTGGGGATGGGAGCCATTCAGCTGTTGTACAAATTTCGTTACGCTAGATCCTCTTTACCCAAATCTGCTCCGTTTCCTTCTTTGCGTACTAACTTGACGTCTACCTAAGGCCATGTTCCATCGTTTCGGCAGCAGCTTCATCAAATAAGAGAAGCATCAGCTTGGGGAAGTCAACCTTACTGTCAGACGAATGTTTCAGGGCGAGGTTGCCTTTGTATTAGAAATTTGCTGGACTTCACGGCATCTTTTGAACCGTTTTTCGAGAGCAAGCAGCGAAATGGGAATCGATCACAAAGCAATACATACAAAATCCTCCTCCACGTCCACCGAACCATTATAGAGGCAGTGTAAGTCGTTTGCAGCGATGACCAGGTGCTTCAGGGAGTGTCATCCTCTCTCTGAGGCAGTCAGCGCAGTGGAAGACAGCGATTCCATACCGACAGATACGGGTCAAACCAATGTTTTAAAACAACCATCCGCCATCATTTTGTCTTTCTTTCTGCCTTTGAGCTCAGCGACGAAATAAACATCTCTTTGATAGCTTCAAGACTGCAGCCGAATGTCTGAAGAAAGACGTACTCTAAAAACAGCGGTCTGACTTTACTGCTCATTATACTGACCAGGTCATATGAGGACAGCATCTCATGCGCTAGTCGTGTGAAAATCTGGGGGACAACTGAATAGTCTATTCGTAAACCAATGATTGTCATGGTCATGTCAATGATCAGATGTCTGAGCTCCTTGCATGCCTGGAGGAGTGCGCAATATGCACAGCGAGTCCTAACCAAAGTGGGCAAAGGCGTGGGACAAGCTAGGAACAACGACGGAGAGGGCTTGCAGGAGGACGACGCGCGGCTGGAAGGAGGTTGAAGTACTCACAGGAAAACTATCTAATTAGCCATTACTCTATAGATAATGCGTTGTCATGGTCAGTTGAACCCCCAAATAGCCGATGTTAATAACTCAAAATCAACAATTTCTCTGTTCTTTTCGTCGCTAGGTGAGCACGTAATTTTATTGGAACTGCCAACAATGTCTTCAATTCTCCGATCTCTACTCGGTTTTCTGGTCGGCTCGGGATCAAAATCCAGAGCAGACTGCTGGCCACCCTCGTGGACCTTGGCACCGGAACCTACTGTTGCAGGTACAAGTTTGGTCTCAGTACAGAGCGCAACCTTCGTTCCAAAAGCGCTGTCGCATTTCTGCTCTTCTGTTTTGCCACCAACGCTGGGGTCCCATTATTCCTCCCCCTTTTCCCTCACAGCCAACCCGGCAACTCTTGCGTCAAGTGTCAGAATGGAGTTGAGGTGAGACGTTTCCAGTTCTAAATACTCCTTTGCATCTCTAATTTGCGTTCGCAGTGAGTGATCTTGTCTGAAGCTCTCAAGCAGAAGAACGCGGATATCTGGATGATCTTGGAAAAGTGAATCCCAGTCTTCTGTGGTCCCAGATAATCTGTCTGGACTTGCGAAGTATTGTACGACAAAGTCCACATAGAACTGTCTCAGCTTTGCAGCTGATGCAGTGTTGTCCAATGCGTAACGCACGTTATCGCAGGAGACGGCCCTGCTGAAAGGTGTACCTATGTGTAGTTCATAGAGACGGCTCAACGCGTAATTCTTGAACTCGCCGCACAATAGCTTGTCGCCAAGAACCCAACACTTTGCGTCAGTGCTAGAACACGATGTCATTAGTGCAACGTTATATTTCCGTAATACATCCATTCCACAAATAGTCCAAAGACCGTGGGGTCATCTTCTGGAAGCTCAACTTGCCCATCTCGGTTTTCCTTGAAATCCCACGAACAGGCCGCCTGCAAGAAGGGGGAGTAGTGTGAGATCAAGTTCTTAGGCAGACACCATTTGTTGGATACGCTTGTATTTGTACCCTCTTTCAATGAGGATCGCGTACCAACATAAATTGTTATGGCACTGCCGCGGAATCTATCTAGATTAGCAACGTCCAGTCTCGAGTCCATTTGGCAACATACAGCTCCAATTTCTTTTTGTCGGTTCTTGGACTTCTGTTCCACAATCCCATAGGGAACGTAAAGGAGAGCTGACTATTCGCATTTGCAGGTAGATCAGGCTTGCCTTGGCTATAATCTGCGAGTCTGTGTTCCTCGAGACTGAAGGCGCTGAACTCCCCTTGACAAGTGATGGTCTCGTATTGAAGAAGAATTCCATCGCAGAATTCGCGGAACAAAGTGATTTTCTTATTACTTGTACCAGGTGTCGCATTGCTAACTGCTATCACTGTTGATCAGCCATAAAGACTCGGGGATGCGACTATGTTTCAATGGAAGGGAGGCGTATATGAGTCGTACGGGAGCTGCTTGCAGTACTTAACATATTTGCCAAGTATTTTTCCAAAATTCACATCCGTGAAAAGAGGCGACGGAGAAAATTAAAGCTGAAGAGAGGTGTAAGGACGTTGAGTTAGATGTAAATAGTTGGATGGCTGGAGCTGTCTAGAGAGCAGAGCAACACCTTCCCCGCTCTCTATCTAATCTTAGACACCTAAGGCAGAAAACATCGAGTAAGTAGCCCAGACCATGCCCTTGTCTGGTACCCCGTGACCCCTGCTTACGGATAATATGAAGATGATGATGAACAACAGATCAGAAGAGAAGGAAGATGATGAGTTCTCTATCTGAAGAACATGCTGATGCTATCAAAAGAAGGAAGAACGCGATAGCGCGAAGATGCTGCCTTTGAGGGCAGCTGTGGGCCTAATGTGGAGCCTGACCAATCAGAGCAGTGACTGGTCCAACAGTCACTGGGCCTGACACACAACAGATAATCTGGTAATCGAGCTGCTACTGATTGAATTGTCAATTGTGATGAAATCAAAAATCCTGTCCATCGTTTTCTCCACGATACAGTTGTCATGGCACCAGTTTGGGCAATTGTACAGAACCTCCAGCATATCCATATAAGGAACCATCAACAGCGAATACGAGATATCTAGTACAGCAGCATCGTCGAAACACAACCAGGCAATCTCGCTGCTGGTGGCAACAGCCTCCACGGGTCACCATGTTTCCCCAGCGTGGTACACCTCGTGCAGGCCCAGGTGCTGGCAACTGGGAGCAGTATGCGGGAAAAGACCACACAACATTAGCAGCACAGCCTCATACTACATGAATAACACCAACAGCGCAGCAACGCAAGGGAGCTGAGCCTGTCCGCAATTGATGGCCGTGAAAGTGCAGGAAGCGAGAGGGCGCCAAGCGGGCTAGGCGACTAGCTATAACTATCGGCCACTCTCTGCCAACAAAAGATCGAGGCGCGAAAAGTCCTTGGTGATGAAAGCTCACATGAAACCCCCACATACAGCTCTAAATTCTCCACAGAGGACATGGACGCGCCGTGAGCGAACTTGCCGATCTGATTCGGCGTGCGGGGCTACTTACATGCGCGCGGGGAGTCGGACGGTGGTCGGCGCTAGGCGCCTACGTACGGTTTTCAGGGGTGAATACCATGAGATGGTTTTCCCATAGACGCCTGGTGACAAGGTGCGGCTAAGTAACAAACACATCAGTGAGGCCGTCGCAGTCAATCTCATCATTGGCGCCCATCTGAAGACAGACACCCTCACCTGGGATGGCTGATCCTTTGAGTATCGCTGCGGGCATCATTGCTGTCATCACAGCCACAATACAGTCGTCCGAGGCACTCTATCTTACGATTGAAAGCTTCAAAAATTATCCAAAGAGAGTCCAGGACCTTTCGAAGCAGCTCTTGGGCCTCACAGAGACTCTTGCTTCCTTGCGTGAGCTCTCCGAGCAGGATGAGGGTCTGGGCACGCCCTTCGAGGTTCCTTTGAGGGAATGTAGGGCAACATGCGAGCAATTTAGAGAAGCTCTGGAGATTCACCGGCAGCGTTTGAGCAGTGGAAGGAGCTTTTATGCGTGGATCTCGTTCAAATTCAGGAACGGCGACATTGTCAACTTTATGGAAACCCTGGCTGTGTACAAGTCCACCATGGCAATCGCCATTGCCGATGCGAACCTGTACGTCATCTTCCTAGGTTCTGGCCCAGTGTCAGGCGCGGGCGTTCAGCTAACCCGTGCGCTCCCAGGCGTACATCGAAAGTCACACTCAGAGTTCTGAACGAGTACAAGAGAGGTGTCGACGCAACCACCGAGAATCTGCAGAACCACTTTGAGGACGTGTTGGCTAGACTAGACGCCCTCCGCGAGCCTACCACTGGCGGGGAGCAGGTCGCGGCGCACTCATCTATCCATCTGGAGCAGATGCGTGACGAGAAGAACAGCATCGAGTACTGCCTGCAGATATGTCGCCGATTCCAAGCCGACATTGAACAGAGGCAGTTCCAAATTGCCCAGGATTGTCGGCTTCCCGTGACGGCCAGCAGCCACGCTAGATCGATGCCGACAAAGGATATGACTCTGGCGGGTATGACAACCCTGTCGTGCCTGAAAGCATGTGGCTTGGAGACGGCCCACGCCATTGGCAAGCTCAGCCAGCAAGCGATAGTAGCACAAGGCCGGTTACTCGAAGAACAAACCCCACTCCCCCAGATTACACGACAGCATTCGTCTGACGAGGACCTCGGCGTCGGGGATGAAGAGCCGGTGGATGGCCAGGCGTTCAGAGCTCGTGAAATTGAAGGCGAGCTCGCGAGCGTGAAGCAATTGCTGCACTTCTGCAAGGAGGCGTCGTCCCGTGCCACCCCAGATCGAGTGCACAACATCAGAGACATTAGCGCGGGGGACAGATCCCAGCAAATTTGCATTTCTTCTGTGGGCGATCTCTTCAAAATACGAAAGGCTCACGTGGGGGATGGCGCGCTCCAGATGTTCGGCTCATTTTCCCCAGAACACCTGCGTGATATCACCATGATTCACTCACGGGGACGGGATGCAGCAGTCACCGAGCAGGCGGGACGCGGCGAAACGCAGGGACAGTTATTAGATGGTCAGGTCCAGGCAGGCAGCACCAACAGGACCAGGTGACTCGCGAGAATAGAAAACTAAATGTATGCCCCAGTTTCATGAATCCGAAACTCTTCGACTCTGTTCCGCAACTGGCCCAAGCCTCTTCCCTGCCCCGGGAAAGTGTGGCTCCGTAGAGGTTTGTGTGCGCGACGCTGCCTGGGTATTGTTGCTGCTCACAGATGCTCCAGAGCCGCGTTGGCTCAGCATCCGGGTGAGTTCAGGCACCGACTCGTCCGACCAGGCCCCCATGACTTGCCACGAGTCGTCCTCCGCCACCACGTCCTTTGCGTCGTACACGTGATCTCTGGTCGACATCAAGAGCTGCACGCCATTTCTGCCGCATCGTATGTCGGCAAGTCTGTGCGTAGGTCGGGCAACATCCACGGCAGTGTCGGAAGCTGCGGTGTCGGGCGGGGCTTCACGGCGCTCGTGCGGAGAGCCCGGCGCAGGGATGGGGCCCATGATATCGATGGCAGCGGGAGTAGCCAAGAGCTTTTCGAGGGGCGAACGTCTCTGAAGAAAGAAAACAAAAGCAGAAAGCGTGGAGGATCAAGTCGTGTCGGTCTACGTATGAATTGAGCAGATTGGCTTGGGAGAGGTTGGGAGAAGAAGAGGCAATTGCGGAGCGACCTGCGACGCCTCCCGTAGGACGCAAGTCGACTAATTAAGCTAGTGGACGGCGGCTTTTGGCCTCGATGAGTCGAGTCATGGTCAAGGGAGTGTGGGCCAAGCCTGGCCATTTATGGATAAGCGCGGAAGTGGCCGCTGGTAGCTGGGGCCGGACTTAAAATCGCCCATGTCGCGTCCGACGACAGCTGCTTGTGGCCATGTAGGATTGAATTGGCATTCAATGTCCATAAACGGACACTTCAATGACAGTCTGCGTATAGAATCAGGTATCCTTCCCAGTAGTGTGATAAGTCAAGGGCCATTTTCAGCTCCTAGACAGACTATATCTAGTAACAGGATCTTCCCGGATATGTTTTGGGATTTCGGGAGGAAGAAGTCCCACCACCAAGCCGATTGACTACAAAGCTCTGCCACTATATGAAATCACGGTAGCCGCTCTGCCATGGAACATTTACAACGGGAGCCCGAAAACAGGGAGACCTGCCTCAGCGTCTGCCACAATATCTTGACACACATTGACACAACCATGTCTGCCTGGCCTCGGCCTGCCGCGACTCCGGGTTTCCATCGCAGCTGCACGGTCGACACGTCGCAGAATGACATCACGGGCACCGATGTCTTGACTGTTGTCGTATTGAACGAATGCAGAAAAAGGCTCCGAGAACTTATTGCTCGTCTCCAGAGCGTCGATGTCGCGGGAGGGGTTACCCCATCAGGTGACATGAGCTTCACGCAGACAGGCCATCAAGAGCGCGATGTACGGCAAACCATTGACCCGAGCCATGCCAGGCTGGGCGTCTTCTCACCATCTCCTATCGATGAGCGAGTCACCGCCAGCCGCACGCATGTGATCGAGGACATTTCGGTGGGTGACTACGGGATGCAAATACTGAAACTGCCGGTGGGAGATCTCTGGACGGCAAAGAGGATCAATGTCGGCGAGCGGGCGGTGCAGCTGATTGGGACGTTCTCGGACATGTCCATGCAGAATTGCCTAGAAAGACTGTGATTTGAATTCACGTGCGCTCCCCCGCGCCAGCTTAAGAGTCACCAACAATTCTGGCCGCGTCTCTTGGCACACATATTATACTTACTCCCTTCGGCAATTTAAGATTCCCCTTCTGGCGCGAAGTAAGCCCGCCTTCGCAAGCTCATAGTAGAGCATTTTACTTTAGCATATATAAGGACGTAATATGAAGTATTGGATCGGACACAATTGCACAATTCGGTGAAAAGATGTGATGTAGCGTTCGAGTTAATGATGAGGTATCGAATTAAATGCCGAGATTGGTAGCACAGCTTTTTTATCTCTTCCTCTTACAACAGTGAAGACTTCATTGACCGCTATAGCCTGGTGATGCTTCCTAACTATGTTTCAAGCTTAAGCATTTCTTAATTGTCAATAGCTTCTAGATTCCCTGAAAATAACCATGTCAAAAGTCAAAATGCTAGCTGCCATCAAAATCCCATAGACAACAGGAAATCAAAAGCTTATAATCGCCGTGGAAGACCAACAACAATCCTGCGTAGTGTAGTTATACTCTTTCTAGAATTATCAGCAGTATTAGAAGAGTATTTTGAAACGCGTTCCTCTGTTCTTAAGACTACTATTGGGCTTTCAAGACCTTTTCAGAATTGGATCATGCGACTGGGATCAACAATACGCTCAACGTGTTTCTGGACAGCCTCGAAGCACATGTACCCACAACTCTCACTCTCCAGATGATTCATAACAGCAGCAAGAGTTGTAAACTCACTGCCACAACGACGGTTTGGGCAGTGGTAGAGTTTCTCCTGGTGAATAGGGGAGTTAAGGTGTTGGTTCAAGGATGCAAGTTTACCAAAGAGGCGATGACAGAGATAGCACTCATAGGCTTCGACAGCGTGGTTCCATGCCCTCTCGTTGGCCTCGTATCTGATAGTGCCCGACCAGGTAAGCAGCTTCTTGGAGATTATGCCATTCGGATCACGACGTCGGACAGCCTCGTAGAGTTTATCACGGTCTAGAGGGGCCCAGGAGTAAGTGCCACGCTCTAGGTGGTGAATCAAGCCCGTGGCTGTTCTATACATCTCCTTGCAGAAAGGGCATCGAATGTCGCTGTTGCGGTGGAGCTTGCCGTGCAGATGCTGTTAGATGTTAACCCAGAAGTTGGGGAGAAGACACGGAGAAGCCGGGCCTACCTGATTGATGCTGTTCCAGTCCTGGAAATACCGATTGCAAGGGTCGCAGTAGAAGTGCTCCTTGACCTCGTGGTCGCGTAGGTCATCCTCGTCATTAAACGCGTCGTCGCAGCCGTCACACTCGTACTCTGGCTCTCCGGACTCGGAGGATTCGGCCCAGTGGTCCATATCAGTCATGTGCTGCTCCACAGCGTGCTGGCTGCGGAAATAGCGGCCACACGTATCGCATTCGAAGTTGGGGGGGTCATGACCGATGGCATCCATATGCTGCTGGCGTGAATGCCAGCCAGCAGGAAATTTGCGCCAGCACGTCCCACAAGTGAACATTGTCAGGGCGTAGGAGAGGGTTCTTGGAACCAGGTAAGGCGATGGTATCGTCGCTACAAAGAGTGACTGGAGATAAGTTGATTGTGTAGGAGTACAACGACGACGTGCCAGGAATAAGGCGGATAATAGCACTCTACATGCGCTGTGGTCATGTGGCGGCCTGTGAAGTTCGGGTCTGGTCTAGCTACCGGGTAGCTAGAACAGAAGCTGTTTAACTTAGTTATGTTGAAAGACCGCGGTGGTAGTACTTGAGCGTCTAAATATTTGGGTTACAGGTGAGTGCAGAAAAAGTTATTTGTGCGCTGATGATTATATTAATAACTATTTTTCGTGCGTTCGCTGTTACTATCCTGTGAACCGTTATTTAGTCCAGATAACATGACGTTGCCGGGGCGTGTAGAAGCTGTGTTCGAGGGACTCGACGAGCTTAGCGATTCAAGCGCCTTGGAATCTTGCACTTTCTCGGGCGGTTATCTAAGGGTATACGGATAGATATTGGATGATGGCCGTGAGAGGAGTAGTGTGGACAAGGGGTCGCGGGGCTACCCGGCGATTTGTGGACTTACTAGGGGCGATCATCGACGCGAGCACACTCGTTCGTTCCAAGGCCCACAAGCTTTGGGACTGGAACAACCACGAGCATTCTATGATATTCCACAAAATTTGGAGCTTGAAACTACACTTAGTCACACAGCCCCTTTCGGAACATGCATGTCAGAAGGCCCTGAGGCAGTTGTTTCACACCGCATCAATGTGAGCATGCCGCCTGGTCGTTTTAACAGCCGGTCCTTGATCCAGTCACCCTGCTCACTGCTCACTGACGATTTGTACGAATGGCCGGTTCCGACTAGTCACCCTACTCCCCTATGATTGGTGCGAATCTCAGTCGTACGACGCACCTGATACCAACTGACATGGGACAGGCGGCCTTACATTGACTTCCATGCGAGCTAACCCAGACGTCGACCTCAGTCCTATGTACCCTGGAGCGGAACAAGGGGAAGTCTTGCCACTCTCCCTGCGTCCTTCAAAAACCATAAAACTGTGGCGTAGTCACAGCCTGCATTGTGCAGTCACGTTCAAAATCAGTCTATCCTTGCCGCAGTGCTTAATCACTTTCAGTTGTGTTCAAACCACCTCACGTACGGAGGCAGTTTGATTGACTGGGCCAGAATGCAGCCATTCCAGCTTCTGGTTTAAGCAGCCCCGATGACCCACTGTGGCCGCATTGCATGTTGTTGGCAACGAGGGGCCTGGTCCGAAGTGGAGCCTCCAAACAGGTGTCACAGAGTTGGCAGGTCCACCAGGACCACCACACCCTCTCAGTTCCAATCCTCCAGTGCGGCGCAGCCACACGACAAGGACCCCTCAGCAAGCGCCTGCATCGATGGCGGAGCAATCACACCCCTTCTCTTTAGTCTCCTGTACTCGTAGTGGCTGCCACCCCGAAAGGAACCGCAGGTACTTACGTAGTGGTTGCCTTGTAGCAGAAGAAACAAGTGGCCGCGGGTTGCCTCACAGGAGCGAATCAGCGATCGACTGATGGAGTGATGACATGTCCAGATTGTCCAACGGCGAATCAGGTCAGGCAAACTGAGGCTTTGGCCTTGAGCTTCTCTAGCAAACACTACCAAACCAACCCCGGTACAATGAAACATTATCTTACTGGGATCTTTGCTCGTACCTGACCGTGTCAATTTGTGCACGAGCCAGGCAAGAAGCGCCACACTGCCCCCGTTCACGACCATCCATCCCTAAAGCTACGCCTGTATTGAGTGCATGGGAATACGCATATAAGAGAAGTCTGAGATTGTGTTGCGGCCGTCTGAATCCCCCACCGTGTTTCGATGAAGTGTGATGCCGGATGCTTGGCATCACACTCCGGACCACACCATGTCATGGAGAATTTCACGGCAGGCGCTCCTGCAGATGAAGTCCTCACTGCAAAGCGAGCGAGTATTGAACCGTGGGACTGCTGGCTACTACTGCCAGAAGTTGGGTGCGGGGGGCTCCTGCTTGATTGATCTCTAGGTGGTTCTAGCGGCCGTACTTGCCGAAAGATGCCCATGCAACCTGCCCGGCTTGTCCCGGCGTGGCATCGACAAACGTTATGGCTACAGGGGAGGGGTGCTTACGTGAGGGCCGATGACTTTTGCGGGCAAGGGTCGAGAGGGGGTTCTGGTTGCTATGAAGATGATGATGAACAACAGATCAGAAGAGAAGGAAAATGATGAGTTCTATATCTGGAGACCATGCTGATGCTATGAAAAGAAGGAAGAACGCGATGCCGCGATGATGCTGCCTTTTGAGGGCAGCTGTGGGCCGAATGTGGAGCCTGACCAATCAGGGCAGTCACTGGTCCAACAGTCACTGGGCCTGACACACAACAGTTGCACTTACACCGCCGCACCAAAGCTGAAAAGACAGGCACCTTGATATTGACTCTACGAGGGCACAGTGTGGGGAGAACAAATTTCAGCACTTGAGCCTTAATGCTCCAAAAACTAATTCCCTGTACTGGAGTCCACTATCACACAGCGGCTCCAACGCCGTGCGGGTTACGAAAGTCGAAGTCCTCGTCCAGCCTTTCTGGGATGGATCGTATGTCAAAGTCGCTTCCACGCGATAATCTTCCCGCTAGAGTGGGCCACTGAGTCGAACTTCGCATGTCGGACCCTTCTCCCTCGTAGCTGCTCATCGCAGTGGTCAGTCCTCGTGACTCCGTACGCGAGTCGTTCCTTTTTCCCTGGGGGAATTTCTCCCTGACAATGCGGAGGATGTCCTGTTGCATCTGCTCGATGATGTCCTCAAGAAGCTCTTTCTGTTGTTCCCCAGCATCATCTCCTTGCTCGTCGCCAATTGAAGGGAGCCGCCATTTGGGGTAGACGTTCATATGCGAAGACTGGACCTCGAAATCGTTGTCCATGTCATTGAAATAGTAGTGGCATAGCCGACAAGGTGGCTTGCTGGTCGCAATGAACATGGAATTATTCCAGTACTGAGACGGGTCCGTCTTCTTGTCCCCGATGAGGAAGTCCTGTAGATGAACCTCGCAATGTACAAACTGACGAAGTGGCTTATGACGGAGCAGCTCATCTTGGAGGTGATCTTGCAAGCCATGTTCCTCAAGCTCTTCAATCTGTTCGATGTACTCTTCAAGGTCCATTTCTGGGAAAGCGATTTGGATCACCTTCATCTTGGAAGGCGCCGGTTGCGTTAGAGGGAGCTTGATCCTGCGACTGGACGGAATGTACTCGACGGTGAATCCCCTGAACAGCTCAGGCCACTGGAATGAAGCTTTCACAATTGTTTCAGCCGCCAGACGATACGAATACAGCCGACCAAGGTAGTGGCGGAGCTCGCACCAAGGATGCGAAGTCACTGCCTCGATGGCGCTGGCAAACCGATTGATGCCCTCGCTGGCGCCAGTCTCTTTGGCAAAATGGATGGCTTTGATGAGCGTCTCGCAGTCTTTGAAAACTATTTGATAGCCGGTTAGCAAAAACTTGCTGGCTTTTGACTGACTTGCACCTGTGCTCTGCAACAATAACAACATCACTTACACTTGAATTTGGGATTGTCACCGGCAGTGATGTCGCGAGGGAAGCGGGACTTGGTCTGGATCTCCTGCAAAGCCTGAACGATAATTGAATCTTGCGCCGTCAGCTCAGTGTCCCGCCATTAATGCATGAGAGATGACTTGCCAGCTTCTGCGTTGCAGTTTCCGATACATTTTTCGACCCAAATCTCGACTTGGTTGAGATGGAACTTTACTCTCGGAAAGTTGAACTCTAGGATTCGCCACAGCACCTTTTTCTGCAGGGGCTTCACGTCCAGGCCGTCCGGGTTGATGCTGACGAACGTGAGCATGCCCTCGAGAAAGCCCTTTGTACTCTCTAGTTCCATCTTCTTGCCGTTGTTCAGTGTGAACAGATACTTGGGGCCAATGTCCCCTTTCAAGGCAACCATGCCTGTAATGGTGTCGCCGCCTTTCTTGGTGTCACAGATCTGGGCGAGCTTGCACAAGAAGGTCTCGAATGGAGACAAGACCCTCCCATCGTCTGTGTCACCAGAGGTGTAGGTGATGCCGTTCATTTGCCGACAGCTTTTGTTGACCGCTGTGAACAGTGAACTGACATATGCCAATTGGATGGCTTTCTTTTCGATGAAACTGCCCATGTTGACAAAATTGATGCTTAAAGCAAAGATGAAATGGAATGATTCTGGAGATTGAAGAGTCTTGAGGATTCTGCGATATCTGCTCTGGTCGGCTCGATGAAAGGACGGTGGCCTTGCCTGGTCTTATATAGACAGATGGCCACCTCCAACGTATCTCTTAACCCTATCCGCCTGATCATCTTCGAAGACCCCAAACAATTCTTTCTTTCCTAATCCATGAACTTCTACCAATTGTTTGCCTAGGAGCGCAGCGTTGTCTTGCTGATAGTGTGCCCACCCTCAGAAACAGAAACCTGCGTTGGGCGTTGGTTTAGGCTGACATGGCGATAAGGCAGACTTGACGGAAATTGACCAACAATGATGCCATTGGGAGCCTTAGAAAGCCTCGTATGCCGAAACACGCAACAGTGCGTGGGATTTAGAAGATCTTAGACTGGCAGAAGTTCCCAATGAGGTAGATGGTGAATTTCGAGATCAGCAACCTGCAAGCCACAATGCTGAAGTGCCCGACTAGTAGACGCGGGATGGATCCATTGCGGTGATTGGTCGAAGACGAGCCAGGGCCACACACACGCTGGCCGGCTTGCGGTCGCTCGTGCCCGCAACCCAGCTAGCTTTTGTCCAATTCTACGCCCGCTGCTGGGTCTGGGCAAGGTCAGAACCTCAGTCTGTGAATTGGTTGAGAAGAGTGCAATTACATGCGTGCCCATGGGGACGAGTTCCGTAAGACACCACCCCACGTCTCGTCTCTATAAGTGGCTGGCGCGGCACCTAACCCCACATCCTCATCTTTGCTGTCACGTAACAGGCTGATGAACGACATGTTCTCACATAAAATCTGAGTCTAAGATTCCCAAACATAAGTGACAGCCATCTTGTGCGAATTTCCTCAGCTGTTACTCAGATCTCATTCGCGCACTTGGCTGACCAACACCGGCCGACTTGACCGAAGTCACGACTTACATGTTCGTGCAACCCAAGATAAAAAGACGAGCGGCAATACTGATCAACATCTGTTCTGTAGCTCCCAAAACCTTCCAAAAAGCTGATATAGAGAATGACTCGCAGTGGTAATTGGACGCATTCAGGCCATGCTTATGCTTTTCGTCCAGGAGCCAGCGACCCTACTCTTTTCCCTTCGGGAGAGGAGCGAGCGCAGGATTCTCACCTTTCGTACTCCTCCGATTCGGGCCACAGAACCTTCGAGTCGCCACAGTACGTGAGCGGGATGGAAGTATCTCAACCAGGTGGCGATGCATCATTGCTGTAGGCGAATGAAGCAATGACACACGGGAGAGAAGACGAGTCTTCGCGACGCAGCTCCTCACCCTCTACGAGGCAGCAATCCACTGCTTCAAATCCTAGTCACCACGGACAGATCCCTTGTGAACGGGAAGGTTGTGGACGTTGGTTTCCAAGGCCTACAGAGCTCCAGTAAGATCAGCCAGACTCGTCTCTAATCCCACATACTTGCATCTCTGACCTGTGTGTAGCAAACACCTCAAGAAGGACCATATGCCGCCATCGATCATATGTGCCACCAATGACAGGCCGTCGGGGTCCAGCAGCCGTTTCGTATGCCAATCAATGTTTTACGAGCGAAATAAAATGCTTCGCCATGTTCGCACCCATCATCCACAATTTGCTCGCGATTCAAGGAACGAAATTCCTGCAGAGGGCGGGACATGTCCGCGGCCAGGCTGCGACACCTATATCAGGGGTGCATCCAACCTCAAGCGCCACATTGACAAACAGCATAGAAACAGGCAGCTCTGAGTGCAGAGCCGAACCCCGCTGCATATCATCACTGAAGTTGCTGAGTCACTAAGCAACACGAAAAAGAAAAGAAAAAAGGATGACCAGGGTTAGAGCCGTAGGGATCGGCTGACTCGATGTTGGGATTTTGGCTACGAAGGGGTCCGGCCTGTATCATTGATTGGCCTGAAACGTCAGCGGGCAGCGGCGAGTTGGTCAAAGGAAGTCGTTCGCCGGCAGAAGTAGGAATATCGAGTAGGGTCATGCAGGGAGCAGATGCATAGTCAATCCACCTATGAGTTAATATAGCTGCAATTGAACTTCCTGAATGGGTGAACCACCGATGGCCTACGGTGGGATATTAGATCACAAGGTCGCCAGGCCTGCAGCCGAGTGTTGGATTACAGGGCAAGTAAAAACGCTAATAAAATTCAAGTGGAAAGAGGGAAGGTTAATTGACCAAAGTAATGTGTGGGAGTTTGGGGTGGCCCTCGGAATTTTTCGCTTTTCAGTATGCGCCCATGGCTATCAGTCGTTTACAGTCATCGTGCCATAGTCCTTTATAAGGAGCCTTACGCTCCATGACCTTAGTTAATCAACCTTTTGCCCTCTTTATTTGAATTTTATTACTTTTATACTTTAACCTACAACCACAACCCAGGCTGCGGGCCTGGCACCTCTGCAGACCCGTCGAATCATTGCTCAGGACCTCTGCCACATCCTCCAATCGGTCTCGAGAGCGTAGATGCGCTGCGTTGTTGTTGTTGTTCGTGAAGCCGTGGCGGCAGCCTTTGTGATAACCTCCACGCCCAACGATGCGGTTGTCGTTGGCAATCGACGTTACACATGGCAGCCACACCCGTTGGCATCACCCATCTTCCTATCGGGTAGGCAGAGCCTAGCGGCCCTGATACGTTTCCTGCTGCGTTGTCGTTCCGCCCAACACAGTAATAGAGCGTAGGGCTCCTTATAAAGAACTACGGCACGATGACTTTGGACGACTAATAGCTATGTGTGCATACTAAAACGCGAAAAACTCCTAGGGCTCTTCCAAACTCCCACACACATACTAACCTCTGCTTATTGAAAAATATATAACACAAAGAGCGTTGAAAAGAATAATAGATTGTCGACCGGGAGATATATGCTCTTGAATATATAGAGTATATGTTTCCCTTGCGAGATACTAACGTTTATCTAAGAGAGCCGCACATAAAGCCAAAATAACAGTTGATAAATATATAAACATATATCTCATGCAAAAAGCACGGTAGCGATATAGTAAAGAGTCTCCTTAGCGCATAATAGAAATAGTACATAGTTGAATAAAAGACATAGAATAGTCTGAAAGTAGTTGAGTTTTAGTCCCTTAGTTATTTTATTATTCATGTGCGGTAAATCATATAAAGTTTGTGCACTAATCTGCATGTATATATATCCGTGCGTATAATTCCCGTCGCGGTTTAGGATTCGAATATTTCGATGTATAATTACTCTCCTGCATCCGCTTTTTATCAACCCGCCATAACGTACGTCTATTATTTTATTCAATCCTTTCCGGCCCCACGGTACTCACCCTCGCAATGGCGCGCCTGTATAAAAAGTATCAAACAGGCCGAAGGGGAATTCCACATGTGCTCTGAATGTGGCTAATTGGCGCACATACGCAACACTCGATGCTTCGTTAGGCTTCCGGGACAATGCTGCCGCCTTCGGCTGCGCAAACCATCCCAGCACAGGCGAGTCGGCCGAATCCTCCGCGGCAAAGCTGGGCTTCGGCACTTGTGATTTGGTAATCTTGGTAGCGTACAGATTCCGCTGCAACTTCTCACGGATGCGAGAGCCGCGTGCCATCCTTCGCTCAGCTAGGGTCGCGGCTGTCGTGGCACTGTCTGTGGTTGCTGAAGAGGCAGAACGCTCGGAGCATGTCATGTAGGGGCGCTTGAGCGCGCCCACAGTCATGGAATGAAGCCTTCCATGCCCATCTGCTCCTGAACAGCCAGAAACTGACAGGAAGCATGGGGTTTCACCACCGGGCCCGCCTTAGCCAGTGGCCTGAAGCCCAACGTGGACAGCCTTTGGATGCAAGGCGTCGGGGTACCTTGCAAGGCGGCGATCCACGACAGCAACCTGTCCCTGGGCACCTCGCAGGCCGGCATCGACGAGGCTACACGTCTCTTCAACCCAGCTCGCGACTAGTGCCCGTGGCAGCGACATTGTTGCGGACGGCTACAGCGTGGGTGCTGCCCTTATCGCCGCCGCCGTGGGCAATCTCGACGCCGCCGTCAAATAGCAATTCAAGGACGTCGTGTTCTTCAGGTAAAGCAAAATTTTCCAGAACAACGGACTCGTTCCAAACTACCCGGCCGACAGGACAAAGGTTCTCTGTAACCGGAGCGACATCATCTGCAATGGTGTTCTCGAGATTAAGCCGCCGCACTTGGTGTATGCGGGCCCTACACGTGAAACTAGTGCATGCTTCCTAGCGGAGCAGGGCGAGAATATGTGAGCGTCTGTCACACATGTACCTGGATGCCGAGTTTATGTTAGTGCTCTCCGGGCTGGTGCAGGATTCTAAAGCGAGCTCTGAACCGACCAGGTAATGAGTGTACCTCAGGGCTGTGAGTCTCGTGATGCCCCTTTCAAAGCAACGATGAGCCACTCTGTCGAACATGCTGATCCTTCTCACCACTGGTCCTCACCGTCAGCTGATCAACCACTGATAAGGATTGTCCTTCAGGACAGCAGCATCATCCGAAGATGATTTGTATAACCTCAGACATGGAACCGTGAACCTATACCTGTAAAGTTTAATGATCTTATAGCTATCGCTTGACGTGCTCTTCGCCGGCGATGGGATGTGTGGCGGCTGATCTGCCGATCTGGCCGCCAGACCACAAATGCGGGACAGAGGGCAGACGGGGTAAGATTCGGTCCCGGTACTATCCTATAGGGGGAGGTCCCACGCCTAAATGAATCGTGCGTCATGCGCTCAATGCCTGATCTTTTACCTACGGAGCAACGGCTAGGCATAGCCACTACCAGTCGGGCGGATGGTCTGGTGGCGCAATCCTCCCTCCCCAGTCTTGCTCGTCGTATCAGTTCACCGGGCGACTGATCCCTGACGACAGTGCAGCAGGCAACTGAAATGGTACGCCGGCTCCATGAACGTCTTGGCGAAGTTCTATGATGTCGTTGTTCTGTGTTACCAGTACTACGAACGAGGTGGCGCAACTTTTGCCCGCGGTCTTGCATTCACAGTTTTCTCCAAACACGTAAGACCGGTCGCCAACGGCCTACGACACTACTCCAGGTACTAGATCATGCACACGCTCCCTACAATTAAGAATCTTTACAGTGAAACAAATCCTTGACTCTGTTGTAAAAAAAAAAGACCGCGATTATAGTACAGAATTTTCACATAGAAGTATCGGCGGCTACGTGGTTCTACGGAAGGTCAAGGGGGCGGGCATAATAGCCACCAGAGCCCACTAGCAAGGGGAAGAAATCAGGGAACCATGCTTGTGCGCAGATTATCCTATCTTCCGAGAGGCGGCACTTTCTGTGCACCATCGCCTGCATCTCATCGTCTTTTTGCCCTGCGTATATCCGCATACCAATGTCGGTTCAGCTCAAATCATATACTCCACCCGATGTTTCCTCACCGCAGAAGACGGGAAAAGTAATACGTTGTGGCTCCAGAGTGGCTTGGCCTGGCCCTTCAGCTCGGCACTTACAGTGACGATCCCGACACTTTCACCAAATCGGGAATAGGCGGCCAATAAGCGTACTAGCTACAGATGATCGTCGTTGCAGTCGGCTGCCGCGACCGCACGGGCCGTCGCCAAGCCTGACTGCCATGATGTCCCCGACGAGTCGTAAGGACCACGAGCTTCAGCTTGGACCTCCAGACACTAGAGACAAGCGGCACGTACCTGAGACTTGCGTACAGATACAGACGATCCCGATCACGGCTTTAGCTTCTCATGGAAAGGTCTGATGACGTGGGCATTGCTTGCGCGATGAGCTCCATCGCTAGCAAGAGAATCAGTCTTGGTGGTATGAGTATAAGTACACCTCAACCACCCGCGCTTTGCCTGCATTCCGGCACAATCATCTTCTCACCCATATTCCTCGCGGCTAGCGTTATTCATCTTCGACAATACCAAGTTCCAAACGTCCACCCAGGCCCACTTCACATCGCAACACCAGCAACATGCGTTTCACAGCTCTCCTCGTCGCCGGCATGGCCACCATCGCCTCCTGCATCCCTGCGCAGCAAGTGGCCGACAACATCGGCCAGATTACGACACTGTCCCGTGACCTCCAAACCCCCGCCAAGTCGCTTAACATTTTGGATGGCGCACTTCTCACCCTCGGCCAGGGCAACTTCCCCGAGAGTCTTTCCACGCATGACTTTACGACAGGAGTAGATTTGGGCTGACCAACCCGTATTTAGCCCGTGATTCAGGGCTTCACCGAAATTGTGAGCGTCGGTACCGCCTTTGCAGATGGCATGGATCCCGAAACCTATGATGAGGACGAATCCGCAATCATCTTTGACGCTTTCCGAACCGTTAGTACCTCACATATACAGTCTTGTGGAGGGTCTCGCCCGGACTAATCTCTGGCACATAGTTTGTCAAGGTTCACCAGGAACTCCTGAACATCCTGATTGGAAAGGCTGGCCTCTTTAGCACAGTTCCTTTCATTGGCCAACCCGTCGCATCAGTTCTTCGCGCTGTCGAGGGTGTCGTCGACGTGAGTCTCCAATTTCATAGTGACACCAGCAGGATACACTAACGTAATACTTGCTCAATAGACGCTTGCGCTCAGTCTTATCGACATGGCCGAGTCTGCCGCACAGGATCTCCAGGAAGAGGCGGATGCACTCGGCAGCACACTGGATACTGCTATCGGCACATACTCGGGACTTAGTCTGTAGTTTGAGCATTTGCGACTCGCTCATGTAGACGCATGGTGGCCTGGCTCAAAGAGTGCATTTGAGCCATGAGAATGGCAAAAGAAGCAGACGGGCTTCACAATGAATCAGTAAAAATGATGTTGTGGCCGGGGTACTGCTCCTTCCCTCTTCGCAGGCGATAGTAGCTTTACGAGCACGCCAGTGTTAGTATTTAGAAGGAAAAAATGCAACCCTTGGTTTTGGATGGTGCGTGCGGCATGTTCTTACGTGACTGCACGTCCAAGAAGACGCAATTCGTTTTTAGCCTTGATTTGAAAGGCTCCCTTGAGAAGTTTTGCGTCATAGTCGTTCCCCATCACTTTGGTTTGCCGGTAGGAACAAGTTCAATAAAGATCAATAGCACATATCACTTACTTTCAATGTAAAGTATTTCTGTTTTATCTATGCACTGTGACGTCTCGACGTCTCTGTGCCGGGTTTCGAAACTAGTCTGCTAGGTTCAATGTCGCAATTTGGCAAGACAAGAACGAGTCGTCATGAATATCATGATGACCTCTGTTGCAGCTACTCAAGGCTTCATCAAGTACCTCGTGGAGGAACGAAAGGCTTGAAATACGATCGTCTCTCCTCAGATGTCGGAGAGAATCGCGAAAGCTGAGGTACCCTATTCAAAGGGTGATAAGAGCAATGAGCACCGCCTCGCCTACTAACCGAGCGCCTTGTCGATCTATCAGACTAATTTGATTCAGGATACGCCACCGACAAAACTCTTAACTATATTCGAGAAGCTATTAAGCAAGGCAAACCGCGCCACACCCGAATCACGCCAACTGCGTATACTGAAGCCTACGAACGCTTATATTACGGAGACCGCCTCTACTTCCTTAATTATGAAGAATCAAAACATGTAATTCATCTTCAAGAGCTGGAAACGGGCCAAATCCCTTTCTCAACGAGTTCACCGGGTATGTGAATCTTTCACCTCTAAGGATTCCGCAAGCGCTGCATCGTCTTGAGTCTATGAGGCATTATACCTTTGCATGTGCGACCTCACATCCAACTCCAAACCAACACGTTTGTCATCAAAAGCTTGACTTGATCCCTTCAATATTTCAGGTGTGATCTGCACGTCAACAAACTTGGCGAAATGCAATCGAGCTTTCCGTTCCGTTTCCATGTTCTGCCGCTGTGCGCGAGTGTTATTCATGAAGGGAAGCGTGGAGTAATAGTCCAGGTCTCTAGTCTCCGTCGCGGTATATGTGGTGGGGTCGCCCACTAGATGACAATGTTTCTCTGCTAGATACCTGTCGTATGGGACGAGGATATCCTTGAACCCGTACTGACAACCTGTGGTATCGATAACCCAAGCTTCGCTGACGTACAGTCGATTTACGAGGACCACCGTGTGGGGGACGCCACTGGAGTCGGGCCCTGGGTACAGCTTTGCTGGAAACCTTGGCTTGCCGATATGCAGATCCACCATTTGCAACATCGAAGGAACCCCTGCCGAATTTTAGTTTAATGCAGAAGTAGATCGGAACGAGAAAACAAGACCTGATTGCAGCTTCCGAGTCAAACGGCCCAATAGCGCCATGGCTGTCGTACATTGATTGACGAGAAGGGCCACTTCTTTGTACTCGATACTGTCCGTGAGATGACCTGGAAACACACCTCGTTTACGTATTGTTTTCTGGATCTGGTGGAGCCACAGTATGCCATCCTTGCTCTCAATCTTCGTGAGATCAAGGTCGTAAACCATCTCCCTGTACGCCAACAAGGCAGTCTTGAGGACCTTAGCAGCGCGTAGAAGTGTTCTTCGCCGGCACATATTGCGACACCTCTCCTTATGAGTCTTTCTTGCTTTGATCTGGCAATCTCGATCACAGTAGAAAGTGTCCAGAGAATCGCCAGCCAAATACTCCGGTGCATCTTTGCACCCCGCACATCGCATAGTAGTAGGTTTTTCGCAGGTCGCACATCTTCCTAGGATTTGAGATGCCATTTGAACTGCTCGATCAAGACGGTCGAGTTATCGTAGACGTGTTCTTAGTAGAGAAAGGCAGCGAGGTTGGCACCCGAAACTTAAACAGCTCAGCCCGAGTGGAGGGGTAAGAGCGGGGTTCGGTTTCCAACGTTGTAGTCTAGTTGTGCTTGATGCCCCCTTTATAGACTGCATAAGGCTGCGGTTGCTTTAGCTGCGTCGTCCGCGCGGGACTCAGACGACGGCTAACAACAGATATCACTCCATAGCTAATCACGCACTGCCGCCTGCTTCACTATGTATGTCTGCATAGTGTGTTTCCATCTTCAACCTTCCTATGTCTCGCCGGCATGAGCCTCAAGTCTAATGTGGCCCAGAGAGTGTATTTTCTGTTATCACCACCCGGCGCGGTGAGAAGAGGTACGAAGAGCTGCTTACCTTCCTGCCTTCCCTTGGCGAGCATAATCATTTTTGATGTATGATATATCCAAGTTGGTTTGAGGTTCCAACAAGATATGCATACCCCGCCTCGGATGCGTTCAGCTCGACTGCGTTGGCAAGACAGCACACGTGGACCCAATCACCGCCACTCAATTTGCACAATCTACCTGTCACGAGCTTCCTGATAGGACTATGCAAAGTGCAAGCGGGGCTGTGACAAGACAAACAGCCATAAAGTGATGCCCCGGCTGCCTTGTTCGGGCTCAATGGGGAAGGGCGGTAGGTAAGCAATAGTTTTAAAGCCCAGTTCTTCCGTGTCAGTGACAGAAACTCACATATTCGATCTAGTACTCAAAAGGTTTCAGCGTTAAAATGCCTCTTTTCAACACCTATAAATATGAGTCTCTCTCTGAACCCAATACAATAAGACTGATGCACCTGGATCCGGCCACTGACATTTGTGCTCCACTCTCATGTCAAATCGCCGAACATCAACTGTCAAACCATTGTGTAGCATACTTCGCCGTATCCTATACGTGGGAAAGGCACAAATACACCCAGACGCTGGAAATCAGGTGTGACGATGATGTCTCATATCTACAAATTCAACCTAACGTGGATGCCCTGTTGAGACGTTTTCGGGCACCTACCAGCTTACGCTATCTGTGGATTGACGCTATATGTCTCAACCAGCTCGACGAGACAGAAAAAGCTGCTCAAATTCCCCATATGGGTAAAATCTATGAAAACGCCAAGTCAGTGGTAATTTGGCTGGGGCCTGAGAATCACACCATTTCGGATCTCTTCGCATTCTTTAAAGCCCTCAGCACTGTCCCTGACGTTTCTCGATGGAAAACGCAAAGCGCGATGGCTAAAAAGATCGTTTTGATCATGGGACAATTTTTTGGTGATAATCTCACTGCGCTTGGAGCCATTCATGAGTTCTTCAAGCGATCTTGGTTCCTGCGTCGTTGGGTTATTCAAGAAGCCTGCCTAGCACGCACTGCCAATATGTACTGCGGCAGTCAATCCATTCCTATGAATACCATACAGCTGGCTGCCGTTCGCTTTCAAAGGTTGGACATGGCAGACTATTCTGTCAAAATGATGGCAAGCTTGGGCAGGCAAACGTCTCAGCTAAGTATTCTGGAGCTGTTATGGCACTTTCATAGGGCCGCTTGTCTTTGGAGCCTGGTACATCATCAGCATCGATTCAACATGGACTATAGAAAGTCGTGGTCTGAAATTTACCAGGATCTCACCTTTTTCATGTACCAGCTAAACGAAAATGGCATTAGTTTGCAACTACTGTTCCATCTATTCGAGTTTGGTGCTTTGGATTGTCCGACAGACGCCTCATTCCCCTCATGGATCCCAGATTGGTCGAAGCCTCGAAAACGTACTCTCCCCTACCTGACACGCATCCGAAATACAGACACCTTCGAGCCCTATCCATGCTTTCTTGGGAATGGTATGCTAGCTGTGGTTCGATCTTCTCATCAGAGTCTTTATATCCACTGGAGAACGTCATTTTCAGGCTCTGAAGGTCATCAAGTCAAGCGCACCGGAACATTTGATTCTCAAAACCAATCTGAAGGTTGCAGACAAGTACAAGTGGTAGGCACAATCAAGGAACTTTTTCCCAGGCTGGAGAACAATGAAGAAGATCTTATAAAGCTCGCTTCTTTACTGAGAGCAGTCTCGGAGTTTCGCCATCCAGATGCCGACAGAAAGCGCACTAGCAGGTGTTTGGGAGAGTTTGAAGTTGAACTTGGCAATAGCCTTACAATCTCAAAGGCGGGAATCCAAGAGCTATTGCACTGGCTTTGAACACTTGATTGCATTCAAGCAGAATTTTGTGTCGTGGAACTTGAGGTTTCAGGACGTAAAAGCGGTTATGGCATTGGTCCCAAACAGTTGCAGGCCAATGACATACTAATACCGCTCTGGAGCGTTGAACCGAATGATTCGATATCGTTCATGTCCAAATCAGTGGTTACTGACATTCAGCTCACGACAATGCTCGCTATTAGGAACGTTGGATGTTATTCTGAAGCTATGGGAAACGTGGATGACCCTTGTCAGACTGGGAAAGTCATCGGGCCGGCAGTTTGCATTATAACGAAACCAGGAGTAGGTAATGATAGAGGCGTGACTATCGATTCGGGAGAAGACAAGACCAAGCACCGATCAGATTGGTCATTTATGCGATTAATATAAAGCAGTAGAATAATAATATAAAAATAATTTTAGGAACAACCGAGCCAAAACTCCAACATTCGAGGCTGTGGGACAAGGACAAAGAGGCAATGGCATTATGGAAGTTTTGATAGGCCAACAGAGATAACAATAGACTTGCTAGTGTGGCTACTCCAGAAGAGCTATAGTATTGTCCCTAGAATGGGGCGTATCGTGATATTGTGTTGATTTGTTAGCCAGGCATGGTTGAATGCAGGATGCCTCGCGGTAGAATCAAACTACTGGAACCCACATCAACAGTTCAGCAAAGAGACAATTTCGGCCCAAATTCCTCACCAAGGAGACAAAAAAGAAGAAGAAAGTGTCTCACCAATTGATCGCACGCGAGCGCCTCACCATT